GGAGCTTTCAAAGCTTTTTCTTTTGCAACAGTATGTACTGGGCAAACTGAATAATGAGGCAGCTTCCCTGCTCAAATCTATCATCTCCATTCCATGGCTGTACTAAGACTGAAAAAGGCCCTTTCCTTGAAACACTACTGAATCACTTTTTCACCTTTTGAGCAGAGAAGCAGGTTGTTCTAGCACAGGGAACTGAAAGGGCACAGTCATGACCCAGGAACATTAGGCACTCAGGGCAATCTGATGTTCAATCTGACTGTGAAGTCTAGCAGAGTTGGCTTCCTGGTTAGTAAACCACTTGAAAATACAGCTGTTCAGGCACAAAATCTGATAATTTTGGACAATAAGCCATTTCAATATAAAGCCTAGAAATTACTCACAATAAAAATCACACAATTGACATTTTAAGCAAAGTGAATTTCTGATGTCAGTTCAAGCAAAATTAAACAACTGTGCCAGATTCCTCTTGTTAGGTTAGGTTTGGGTGGTCTTTGATCAAAACATGGTTACTCACATTTAAGAGAGTCAGATTACCAACTGAAAATGGTGTAGCTTGCTGCTGCTGTCAAGGTCATAGCCTGTAGCTCTAATCCAAACAAAATTCAGGTATAGAGAAATATTCAAGTTATATTTCACTAGGGGAGGTAGGGGTGAGTGCATATTTAGAGAACAAACAAAAGAACTCAGGGGTAGAGAAAGCAGTCAAAACTAGAAATTCCCCCTGCTTCAACAATCTGCTAATCCACACGTTTCCATGGCAAATATGGAAATGGCTGATTCTAGTCACAAATTTGATCAAGATTGAATGCAGGCTGTAAAAACATAAGAAATTTCTATTTCTGCATCTGGTTGAAATCAGAGATGCAGTAGTAGTGTGCATTATCTACTGTGCTGGCCCTCTGCTTTTTAGTGTTGTGGTTTTGATGGGGTTTTTTTCCCCTCATTTATTGATTTATTGCTTATGTTTGCAGGAGAATATACAAGCAGCATGATAGTCTCAAGTCCATCTCAACCATCTATATAAGCACTAACTACTAATATACTAGAGAGGACCAAACAGTCAGCTTTGTTGGCATTTGGTTCATAATGAGCTTTGAATGTTACTTCCTGATCCCAATACCTCAAGTCCCTGCATCTTTAGAGTTTTAAAAGTGACAGTAATACCCAGTAGTACCCAGAACCAGAGGGTACATAAGGATGGATGGGACCTCAAGTTCCCTCTTCAAGGTTAGCTATGGCCTGGGACTTCATTCACTTGAGCTTTGAGTACCTCCAAGCTTGGACACTCCACAGACCCTCTGTGGCGTCTCTTTCAGTGTTCAGTCACCCTCACAGTAATATTTTTTTTTTCCTTATGCTCAAGTGGAATTTCTTTTATTTCAGTTTGTGCCCATTCCCCCTTGACCAGTCCCTGGGCACCAAGGAGAAGAGCCTGCCTCCATCTCCTCTACCCCCACTCACCCCACTCAGATATTCATACACCTTGACTGAGACTTCCCTGAGCCTCCTCTGCTGCAGGCTGGACAATCCTAGCTCTCTTGAAATTTTCCCTGTATTTCAAATGCTCCAATTGCTTCATATTCACCATAGTCCCTCAGTAGACTCAGCTTAGTAGGTCCTCGTCTCTTCCATCCTGGGGAGCCCAGCACCAGACACAGCACTGTGTTGCACAGAGTGCAGCCATCAGTGCAGCACAGAGAAGGAGCATCATGTCCCTCAGCCTGCTGGAGAAGCTCTGCCAGGCACAACCCAGCAGACCACCAGCCACCTTTGCTGCTGGCTTACTGTCAGCTTGTCTCCAGGACCTCAGCTAGGCTCCACCAACATCCCAGGAATGCTGTCTGACATATAAGTGAAGTGAACATGGTGAAAAGAAGTATTATCTTTTAGTAGGTTAACTCAGAATGCTGGAAAAGGCAGACAAGAATCCCAACAAGAAAAAGTTCCTAATGAAATGTACAAATAATAGATAGAACTGCCCCGAGCCACTCCCAAAGCGAACAGCACAAATCTCATGGACTGTCTGGGACACTTCAGTGAACAGGGAAAGCTTCTGCAGCTTTGTGATAGGACTGGAAGTCTAAGAGGCAGAAATCTTTATCCTGCAGAACAGGACATGTGGCTCCCAGCCTACCAACACAAAATGCCTAATTATATTGGATTAAGTTTTCACGTTTGAGCCAAGTGAATGATGTCCTCTTGTACAAATGCACAATGCTGTCCTCTCCCAGAGACAAGGGCTCATGCTTGATGGGCCACTGCTCTCCACTTGACAATTTCTGTGTCACTCCAGCCTTTATTGATTCAGGCCCCCCATTTTCATTAGAACAAGCAATTTGAGCTTGTATTCTTGAACAGTGCTAATACATCCTCTCCAGCCTTGCTACTCACAGATGGAATAACCAAACCAGCCCCCAATGCCACTGCCAACACCCCAGACCCAGCCAAGGAGGACATGAGGGTGAGCGGCACAGGCAGAGCTGTGTCATGTGCTGAAGCTGGAGGGGTTAAGCATGGGCCACTTGCACCCACTCTTCTCTGACCCACCATGGCCTTCCTGGTATTAACTGATCTCTGGAACCTCCTCACTTTAGACATGACCTGTTTATTTTACCTATTCTTGAAACACTGCTTTTTTTGGTTTTTTACTTTATTACACCAGAGAATCAGAGCTTCAGACACTGGTGCGAGCCGCTCTACTTGGAGGAGCACATACTTACCACCATGAGAGAGCATTTGTAGAGGTGTGGATTACAACTGTTAAAACTGTTGTTACAACTATTTCTCCAGGCCCTTGTTTTACTAGCTGTATTTAACTACTACATAAAGTCCTGAAATATTAAGATAAACACATAGATAAATACAATAATTAATATATAATAATGTGAAAACCTAGTAATAAAATAAAATAAACCAAAAAATATAGTAAAAATAAAAATAAAATAAATACTCAATCTAAGATAAACTTAGCAATAACCAATGGAGCAGTGGCACCCAGGCACCACTAGCCAGCTGCCCTCTGGCAGAGAAGCCCCACATCAAGCTGCACCAACACTGGGACAAATGATCCTTTCTCTCTGCTCAACACTTGAGCAAGCACAGCCAGAGTTCTGGGGCCAATTTGGGACTCCCCAGACCAAGACAGACTAGAATATGGTAGAGCATGGTCTGGTAGAGGCCACCAGGATGGTTGAGGGCTGGAGGAGATGCCAAGGGAATGTGTGGACAGCACGAAGGAGTCAGTCCATCATGTAGTGGTGGCTATCTATTTAACTCACAGACAAAGAACAATTTCAGATTGTATTCAAGCCCAGCACACATTAGCGTTTCACTGCTCACAAGGTGAAGTGCTAACTGTCAGTGTAAAACACACCAGCAAACCACACAGATAACACATCAGAGCCAAGAGGACATAACTCTGGGAACACAGGTTTTGATAAATACAGCTGAACAACCACTGCCAGCAAGCATCAGCAAGATCGAATTCCATTGTGAAAGTTAAAATGTGTGACCATACCCTGGATTTTTACTGCAGGTGACCGCCAACAAAAAGCAAAGGCTTGCATCCACTGGAGTGTGGACCCAACCACAAGACAACAGTCACAGAGAATGGATATGTTCAGCCACAAATTACCTACATTTAGTGGAAATTAGACCCCAGGTTTCTGGCAGGTGGACAGGACACCCCTTGGTGTCACAGCAGCCACCATGCTCAGCACATCCTGTTCAGTTCTTGTGTACTGCAGTGCCTAAACATAAGTCTCTCAGCTTCAGGTGTAGCTCAGTGCTTAGGCAGTTACACAGATATTCTTACATTTTAAGTAATATCATACATGTCCCAAACAACCACACGATCATAGGGGCATTACAATAACACAGAAAGGTGAACTGTAAACCTTGTACACACACTCTAACATAAAACGTTACCCTACAGGTATCAGGAACACAGACTTTTACTCCTGCTCACGAACTTGCCACAAACAAATCTCCTCCCATCCCTTGCCCACTTCTCTTTTGCATGATTAATTGGTGTTTGATATTTCCTAAGACAGTTTTCAACTTAAATTGCAAGAAAATCTATACCAACTTGCAGTTCAAAAGCATATATATGAACTGAGCTACTGATCCAGTGGAAATAGAGACATCCCTAGAAACACCAAGAGACTGTAAAATGCAGAGGTTCAGGCAGGGAATATTTCCAAATAGCACAAATATTGCCAAAGTTATAGAGCTTTTCCTTTTGTCTTCTAAACAATATTCATTCTGACAACCTCTGACAGTGTTTTCAACTTTCTGCTCAGCAACACCCTGGAATTTTTGAATTAACCCTGAAGAAAATTGAGTGACGCTCAAGCAAATACTACACAAACCAGACCCCCTGAAAAATCAGCATTTAGAGGCAACATTTATGGATTTAAGGATTAAAACCCCTGGAACTGCTGCCTACTTTCTCATTTTTCATGAGCTTCTGCTTCTCTCCTTCTTTAAAAAAAATCCTAATTCTTTCCCCTCTTGCTAATCTTTATAAAACACATCATTAGTACTGCATGTTTGGTGTTGAACTACTGAATATGCAACACTGATTCTAACAATACTCCCTGAGACAGAAACCCAAAGGTATTGAGAAGAATTTGCTGTATATTTATATTTTATTCCCTCTTCAAAGGGTTTATGCAGCATGGGATTTGGAAATAAACACGTCTCTTCTGCAAGTGCTCTGCATATGAAGCCACTGAGCTTCTCTTCATACATGCCTGCATGAAGGATTACAGTATTTCAGATTCTTTTCAACCTCCAAGCCCCTCTACAGCAATTTCCTCATGCCCACATGTTTTCTCCACCACCTAGCAATCCCACTCTCCTCTGCAAATTACCCCTCACAAAAACATTGCCAGGTTACTTGCAAGTGGCACATGTTAATTTTCTCCTCCCTTCCCAGGCAAATGTCTCCCACAGCAAATAAACCAAAGGGATGGGAAAAGCATAACAGGAGGTCTTACCTTTTGATGGTCTTCTTTGTTTCGTTTGTAGAGAAGAGAACGTACCCATGACAGCACCCATTGCAAAAGCTACTCGTGAGTTTTTCGGGAGGATTTATTTTGGCTGATTTTTTTTTCTATTCCTCTTACCCCACCCCTCCACTGACGGCGAACAAAATCTATGTGAAATGCCCCCAAGAACAAAACAAAACAGAGGAAGTCCAGACAAGAAAGAAAAGAAGGAAGGAGGAGGAGGGAAAAAAGCAAAGCACTGCAGCTCGGCATTCAGCAAGCGTTAAGCTTTGAGGGTTTTTTTTAAGTCAACACACATGCACTGACTCACAGCCGGCTGCACTGTTATTATTCAAAACAGCTCCCCATCAAAATTTAAATGCTAGGTATATTCCCTCAGACCAGAGCTGGCAGCAGATGCATCAAAATATTTACTGGAGCACAGCCACATAAACACACAGGCTAATTCTTCCTCCCGTTCCCTTATGGCTCCAACCAGCAGCCTGTAGGTCTAGCGAGGGAGCATCAGAGCAGCTCTTCCAGTGAATACTAAACTGGAGCCCTGTAGACATGCTGAGGGTCTCGGGGGGAAGTCAGGGCTTTGGGCTGGATACCAACTCGGAATGAATGGAAATCTTCTGAGTAGGAAGTAATAGTGAGCAAGGCATCAAAGCCACAGCTGCGCAGGCTGTGTGCTCCTGCTAATTAAGAGTCTGACAGAAAGGTAGAAAGCAGCAATTTCCAACAGTCTTCTCAAGCAGAAAAGTCAGAGGAAAATTACTAAGTTCAAGGGGAGGAAACAGAAAATTTCACCGCAATCCTTTTCCTTCATATCTTTTCTCACACACCAGAAACACATGTAAGACAATTATTTTTATGGCAAGTATGTATGTGCACATCCTTTTCAAGCATATTGAACCAAAAAACTGTTGAAACAAAACTCAACAAACAGTGAATGGCTAGGAGGAGGTAGAGAAATTCCCAGCATTTTTTCAGTTCTGTCATATTTCAAAAAATTAGCTAGACATCAGGTTATGTTTCTTCAGAAGGTGAAATAACAAATGCTCAGGTACAGGAGGAGTTAAATACACTGAGGCAGGCCTCAGAACCCAAATTAACTTGCTACCTGCACATGGTGACTGAGGGCAGCATGTGTAAAAATACTGTCTTTTTCAGAAGAAATTCACCACAGAAAAAATCACCTTGTCTCAACAAGTTTCCTCAACTTTCCTCTAACTTTGCAGTAGATTCCCTCAGATGCAAATCCAAGCTCCCTAAATGCTGGTGTCCCTGGAGGTACAACCCTGCCTTACCTGCTACTCACCCGCTGCCAGCATCTTCACATGCATCTTCCCATGCATAAGTATATTTGCATCCTTAGTGTACACCTGCAAAGATCTTCCCCTCAATTTCTAGTTGAAGAAGGCATTGCACAAAATAATTTGTCTTTTTCTTGTTTTATAACTCAAAACACATCAATTGAACTTTTTGTGAGAAATAGCTGGGGGAAGGTACTGTTTAAATACCCAAGTCCTGAAACGAAACACATCAGTTTGCAGGTTATTGCCCAAGACTGGGGGCACACAGAGGCCTTTGTCACATCAGAAGGAGCCTATCCTGGTTTGTGCAACATCCCCTGCTTTCCATTCAGCCCCCACTCCTTTCCCTAGGCTGGCATAGCTGAGGTCCCATTGCCCCTGCTTCCCCAGCCATCCAGTTCCAGATGGGGGTCCCTCAGACTACGTTGATCTGCACCAGGTACTGAAGAGCTGTGTGATATTCTTAAGCTTTTTAAAATTAAAATATTTATCTTTATTATTTTATTAATATTTTATTTGCATTTACAGAGCAAAATATTACATAGGCTACAGTGCACATGTGGAAAATCACTATTCTTGGGACTAGTGCATTCAACAAAGGCTGGAGAGTGAACACAGGCTACAGCCAATATCTCCAAGATATCAAAACTAGAATCTTCAATCTAGGCAAAATGTCACTAGCAGAAGTCAAATGTTGCCAAGGTGTAAGGCCCCAGACTACTTGGTTGATGAGGATTTTAAAAGGGTTTTTGGTTGTTCATATACATTGAGTTAGATGCACGGGAGAAGTGCTGATGATATTCTCAAGAGATCAAAATAACAAAAAGAACTTTACTGGCAACTTCAGAAAATTGAGGAACTTTGGCAAAAGGTTTAGTGCAACATTCAATCAATACAAAACAGTTCTCAAAGAACTGGCCCCATTCAACTTAGCAAACTTTAAGCCCTTTTGATTCTAAATTACTCAAAAAATCCAATAAGAGGGAATTAGGAGAAAGAGAGAAAGACAGAAGAGGTATAGAAAAATACATATATAGCTACCAGTTCCTGGGTTACAGTGGTGTTCTGACAGAAATTCCAAGAGGAGGTAGGGTCAAGACATATGAATGCCCCTTAGCCCTTCCCCCACTTGGGGCTTCTGGTCACTTGGCCACTCAGGAGCTGTGCTGGGGCTCCAGGGATTGGGTGTGGGGCATTGCATCCAGTGTGCCACAGATTGGCAGCCACTGTGGGATGTACCAGGCAGGGCACTGCCTCACCAGGGCAAGGCCTGACCTGCTCCTGCCCCACACACATGCATCCCAAAATGTCTTGAGACATCACTCTTTCCACTCTCTCACACAAGGCCACCAGTCACCCATTTTCTCAAGTATCCTATCTACACATCTTTTAAATATCTCCAGGAATGGCGACTGTCCCACTACCCTGGGTAGCCTCTGCCAGTGTTTGACCATCTTTTTGGTGAAGGAATTTTTCTTAATACCCAACCTACACCTCCTCTTGAGGCCTATTCCTCTTGTTACTTGGAAGAAGAGACAGACCCCACCTGCCTACAAACTCCTTACATCAAAAACTACCTTGAAAGTAGCTGGCTTCAGGATTCCTTTTGACATCAGTTGGATCTCAGCCATGCAAAAACTGAGCTCAGTCTGGGAGTGACAGATCAGGCTGTCCATATGGTGAGATAGCCAAGAAGGAAGTAATTTGGGAAGACAAAATTGCACCCCTAATGCTGCACTGTTGTTTACTTGAAACAGCATGGCATATGAAGGCAAAGGGCAAATGCAAATATTCAGTTTTCTCTGAAACTTGAAAGAAGTAAAAGCTCTATCTTGGCTGAAAATCAGTATTTACAGGTCCCAAAGAAATTATGGGGATAAGCAGTTACACACATTTTTATATTTATGACTCAAATATACAAGAATGGTGATGAGAGGAGGGCTCATGTCTGTGCTTAGGCAGATGAGCACAGAATTACAAATCCCCAGTTCAAAAAGCAGACAATTTCCTTCACAGCTGAAAACCAAGACCTCAGAGGAACAGAGGCATTGTAAGCACTAAAAAACTAGAGTATTTGCCACAGCAGGCAGGAACTGTCTTTCCTCAAAAGACGATCATTCAAATATATCAATCTGGGAGAGAACACTTTGAGATGTAACAAGTGCTGGTGGACATCCTTTATCTGAGGAGATGAATATTTTCAGACTATTTCCTTTAGATATAAGAAGCTGCCTGAGCTCTGACTGTGATGGTGAAATGCACAATTGTAGCTATGTAGGTATCTGAGTCAGCATCCTGCCTAAGAGATGCTAAAAGAGGACCAAAAGTACATCAGGGATGTACTGATGATGTGCCTGTAAGCCTGCCTGCAGTAAATTCAGAGCTTGGTTCTGACACAAAGGGGCACCTCAGTACATTAACATCAGTCTAGCAGATCTCCTGGGAGTATTTTGCTTCATCATTATTGTGAATTGCGCTACACTACATCTGTGCAGGATGGAGCAGACTTTGCTTCAGAGTGGACATAAACAGGCTTTGAAGTTCAGATGTGATATCTGCCCTGAATATCCAACCAAAACCAGATTGTACCTGATACCTTGCTACAACTACAGCAATTCCATACAAGACCAAGCTCAAGGGCAGTTGTTTATCAGTATCTATGCAAACAACAATGGGAAATTCCATCATCCCGATGGAAACCATAAGGTCTGTGACATTTCTGCCAGTCAGTACGCTGAAGTCATTCACCAAATTAAAACAAAGACTAAATTGTAGCATAAAGATCACCACTATATATATATATATATATATATATATACAAGTAATGTAAATAAAGTGGGACAGTGGGACTGGGGATGACTGAGAAGGTAGCGTAATAGTGTGATCTACAAACTGAAACCTCCTTCCCATGAGACCCATGGGACAAAACAAGGTTTGTTCTACACTGGGTTACACAAAAAAAAAAAATCATTTCACGTAGCTCCCAAGCTGTTAAAATCACTGACATTTACAATAAATCTTTTGAAGACATGAAATCCTGAAATCTTAATGGGAGCCAAATCTGACTAAACGAAAACAGCATTCTTTTTGGGGAAAAAGGTTTTGGAAGAAAAATTTGTTTCTTAAACCAGTTTTTATCAAGATTTAGCTGTGTTCCTACATGAGAGAACTATATAAAGCTACAAAGATATGATGTGAAAAATATACTGTTAAGACACTCAAAAATCTTGACAAATCTGGAGATTTCTGCATTTTGCAGAAAATCACCTTTTTTGGGGAATAGATGCAGCGTCTCTGTAATATGAGTCTCTCAGCAGTACCAGTGAGTATTTCCATCTGTAACTCCATCTTTATTTTTGTGAGAGAATTCACATTAAGGTCACAGCAGATGAAGAATGCTTCCAATAAAAGGGATGTATTCTATTCCTCTTGTGCTAGCTGGTGGAATGAATTACTACAGTTACAATTATATAACAACTTTTATCTTACTGCTGAAGTGCTCCCTACATCACATTATTGGTGGCAGATATTTTCAAATTCTGTTCAATACACCATTCCAGATATCCTCTGGAGTTAATAACTAATTAAAAATACTCCATTTCAAGATGTACCAATGGAAGAGTGAAGACATCTCCGAGACACATTTTGGCACTACTGGCACTGCTGGCAATGCACAAATGTGTGAAATAAACCAGCTAAAGCAAACTCAACTGCATATATTCAATCAGAATGTCTGCACTACTTTTCATTTACTCATTTGAGGGTATCTTCAAGACTGAGCATCAACTTTTTGTAATACATCACCTTTAAAATGCAAGTTCCAGACCAGGTTGGATGGGGCTTGAAGCAACCTGTCTAGTGGAAGGTGTCCCAGCCCATGACATGGTGGAGGAACAAGATGGTCTTTAAAGTCCCTTCCAGTCCAAACCTTCTATAGAATATAATTCTGTGAGTTGAGCAAACCATGCTTATCTCTCCGGCACAGAAGTGCTGACAGGGAAGCAGCCTCCCTGATGTACTACCAGGGCCAAACCCTCAGCTGCAGGCAGGAGCAGCTCACCACACACTTCAGGGAGCTGTGCCAATTTCACATACACACAGAGGTCAGTCAAATATTCCCACACCTCATGCACACTCCCCAAACAGATATATATGGACAAGAGGAACAAAAATTGTCTCTTGTCTATCAAGTGCTTTTCACACATGCAGAAAATGTATTGTTTTTGCTGTTTACCCCTCCTCTTATTGGCATCCAGAAGGTATTTCCAGGAGTACAAGAAGTTGAGCTATACTTAGATTAGTGCAAGTAGTGTACCAGTTCTGTTACTTGTTACATGATACTCATTTTGACGCACAGACTGCATGGGCACCGAGACAGGATATTTATCTTCCTTCAGCAAACCAGATA